TATCCACCAGAAGCTTTCCAAATTTGGTACTCCTCCCTCCACTGCTCTTTCAGTAACCTCAGGTAACTCTTCATGGTATTTTGATTCAGCATGCTGTAATCACATGACTTCTGACTCACTCTATTTTCTTCTTTATCATCATTATCTTCTGCTCCCAATATACACACTACTGATGGTTCTCATATGCCTATTAGTCACATTGGCCAAATCTCCACTTCCACTGTGTCTCTTTCTGATGTTGACCATATTCCTGCTCTTCAATTGAACCTTATCTCTGTTAGTCAGTTATGTAAACTTGGTCTAACTATTACCTTTTCTGCTAATGGTTGTTTGGTGCAAGACCCTCAAACGAGATAGATCCTTGGGATAGGCCATAAGCATGGACATTAGTTCAAGCTTAACCATCTTTGCAGTCCACACAAATCATCTACTGCTGCTGTTGCATCTACTATGTCTTCTTTTCACCTTTGGCATTGTCGCTGAGGATATGTCTCATTTAGTCGTTTGAAAACTTTAGTTTCTAGTGGTCAATTAGGTCGTATCCATCTTGAAGATGTCGATTGTTTATCTTATCAAATTGCTAAACAACTTGCCTTACCTTTTAATAAAAGTAATTCTATTTTTACTGCTCTTTTTTATCTTATGCATTTAGATATTTGGTAGGAACTTACCCCTACACCGACCATGGGGGGGTCCAGATATTTTGTGATTTTTGTTGATAATTTTTCACACTATACTTGGCTTTTTCTTCTCAAAAATCGCTCTGAACTTAAACAGATTTACTGTGATTTCTTTGCTATGGTTCGCAATCAATTTTCTCGTACTATTAAGCTTTTTCATTCTGATAATGCTAAGGAGTACTTGGATTTTAATTTTCTTTCTTTTCTTCAGGCTCATGCTACCTTATCTCATCGATCTTGTGCAGGCACCTCCCAATAAAATGGCCGCGCCGAAAGAAAGCACCTTCATATTCTAAATACTACTCGAGCTCTTTTCATCTCTTCTTCTTGTCCTGAAAAATTTTGGGGGGAAACTGCCCTCACTACTATCCACACCATCAATCGTGTCCCTACACCTATAATAGCTAACAATTCTCCTTACGAGCATTTGTACGGTTCTCCTCCTGACTACACCACTCTAAAATTTTTTGGTTCTACTTGTTTTGTTCTACTTCAGTCTCATGAACACACTAAACTAGAACCTCGTTCTCGTCTTTATTGTTTTCTGCAGTATTGTATAGAACATAAAGGGATGCTACTGTATAGTGTCCTTGGGGTATGAATGAATTGTCCTTAGGATAGTGTTCTTTTTGTGACGTATTTATTTGATGTGTTGCATTGCCTCACATTGATTGTACTTGAGGATGATTTTAGTTTCTTAAGATGGCTGAATGTTTGTGTATTTTATTCTCAATATGCAGCTTGGGAGTCATTTAGAGATCGCATCCCAAAAAATGAAAGGGAAAGTTTCATTGATGCCTACTGGAAGAGATTAAACTCTGTTGACCTGGAAACACGAGTAAGAATTGTTTTATTGGTATTGATGTATGCATGCACTCCTTTCCTTAGTTCCTTTGGATTATTTGATTTGTTACTCCCTAAAACTCAATTTGGCATGCACTCTATTATAATCTATGAAGACTTGTGCATCTGAAAAGATTGTCAAATTTACTGTCAAGGAATTCTTCACATAATATCCTCATAGATTCAAGAAAAGAAGGGGATTTATAAACTACCTAAGGCATAAGCTCCATATATTGATTACATTGTCCATTGTTGTCATAAGCTTTCCTTCACTTTGGAATTCTCAAGTAGAATCATGGTTGCTTGGAGAAATTACAAAGTTGGGTACAAAATAGTTAGGACACTGTGTTTTATCATGCTTACTATTTACACTTTAAGTTAGTTTGTGATGATTCTTGTGAATGCTTGCATGTTGTGAGCTTTCACATCTTACATCAATATTGGCTAGTTTTTGTTAGATAATGTCTCAATGGGACCACATATTTAAATGTGGTGTTATCATTTATAAGAAGCCTACAATTTAAGTGATTCAATTTAGTCAATAGGCTTAAGGGTATATGTGTCATGGACCTAATGTGTAGATACTAGTTGAGTAATTTCTATTTCTATTTCTATTGGTTAAGTTGGTTTTCATTCTCTTCAAAAAAACTGCCACACGGTTTTCTTTTTGAAAATCTATTTTAACCTTAAGTTGTTATGGTCCCTAATCCTGCTTAGAGTAAAGAACTGCCAATTTCTTCTATATCCTCTCAAGGAGAAACTTAAGGCACTCAAAAGGAAAGGATTGGAAGGCAATAACAAAAGGCAATTGATAATCACGTTTCCGTTCAACGATGGATTCGGGTACGCTTTGTCTTGAGTTCTTGATGATACACATGGTAGATGATCCAAAGCATAAGGTTTTGTGTTTTGAAATTATGTTTACAAGTGGTATCAGAGCAGTTATATCATGTGTATTATTAGAAATTGATATGCTTTATTCATCCAATTTGGTTTCCTGGTTTTCGGATTCTGTTTTTTTTTTTTCTGCTGCAAATTCTGCTTGGTTTCTGGAAATGTAAAATAATTGAGATGGATTCGGTGGGTAGTTCATCCTTCTAATGGATAAATGCATGTGTTAATGTATATGTATATATATATGGATGATTGTATGTGTGCAACAGTGCACTATTATGTTGAAATGGGCTTCCGCAGTTATATATATTATGAATGCATGTGTTTATAAATCCTTCTAATGCATCAGTTTGCATTTGGATTCTATATTTCAAAGTTCATGGAATCATGTATATATATATTTATTTTCATGAGGTTTATAATTATGAACATCATAAAATATATATATATATATATATATGTATATGTATATATTTCCGTCTGCGTTACATTTTCTGGGTGTTTGAAAACAGAGCACCATTGTGTTATTATTTTCACAATAAAGAAGTGTCTTGGTCTTTGGAATTTAATAATCTATTCATGCATGTGATTTGTGGACTAGGTCTTTGGAATTTAATAATCTATTCATGCATGTGATTTGTGGACTAGGTCTTTGGAATTTAATAATCTATTCATGCATGTGATTTGTGGACTAGGTCTTTGGAATTTAATAATCTATTCATGCATGTGATTTGTGGACTAGGTCTTTGGAATTTAATAATCTATTCATGCATGTGATTTGTGGCTTGATCTTTGGCATTTTCTGGGTGTTTGAAAACCGAGCACTATTGTGTTCTAATTTTCATATAAAGAATTGGTTTGGATTTTTTCACTTGATGCATGTGATTTGTGGTTAAAAAAAAAAAAAACTATTATTTTTGGACTCGTCAATTTTATATATATATGTATATAATTGGGATTGCTGCAAATTATATAAGATATACGGGGTAACACATTAAGAAATCTTTAAATTTAAAGTAATTTCATACAACGTCTACAGCCATTTAATTTTCTAACGTTCTAAATATAAGTCAATTCACACAAGATGTCACAAAAGTGATCTCTCTTGTCTAGATTGTTTTATATGGAATGTTTTGATGTTCATGTATGTGTATCTCATGCGGGTATTTATCGGTCTAAAGACATGATTAATACTTGGCAGAATTACACACACATTTTGTGGTGATAAACATGTGCCAATTGTCAAGGAAACCTAATGTGAATAATAAATCCATCAAAAGATAGATTTGTTATTTGGCATAACTTATTGTCAATGTTTGATCATTACAACAAGAATACCACCTACAGTTAACATCACTACCCAAAGGCTTGGTATTAATGTTGTGCTAGGTATCTTGAGATGTTGTCATTAAATTAATTTATTTAGAGATTATTTGTTTGGTAACTTAATGTGAGCATAATTGTTTATTCCTTTTATTTTATTTTCTATTCAGCTTTAATGTCGACTACTTCAATCTCTGCCAACATGAACAATGTTCCAATGTTAAATGGAACAAACTTTAAGGACTGGAAAGAGAACATATTGATTGTTCTCGGCTGCATGGACATAGACTTGGCATTAAGGATGCCAAAACCGAATGCTCTCACTGCACAAAGTACTCCTGAGGAAATTGTGTACTTTGAAAAGTGGGATCGTTCTAACAGGCTAAGTCTTATGATCATGAAGCATGGGATTCCAGAAGTTTTTCGGGGTTGCAAAATTGTTTCGAATATGTACCACTTGAAAAGGTGATCGCATATAAACATTACTCAAATTATTCCAAGTTTTAATGTCGACTACTTCAATCTCTACCAACATGAACAATGTTCCAATGTTAGATGGAACAAACTTTAAGGACTGGAAAGAGAACATATTGATTGTTCTCGGCTGCATGGACATAGACTTGGCATTAAGGATGCCAAAACCGAATGATCTCACTGAACAAAGTACTCCTGAGGAAATTGTGTACTTTGAAAAGTGGGATCGTTCTAATAAGTCTTATCTTCATGAAGTGTGGGATTCCAGAAGTCTTTCGAGGTGCAATAACAGAGGATGTTACCATTGCCGGTGAATTTCTTTCAGAAATTCAAAAGCGTTTTGCTAAAAATGATAAGGCTGAAACAAGCACGCTTTTAGCCAGCTTGATTTCAATGAAGTATAAAGGCAAAGGTAATGTTCGCGAGTACATCATGGAAATGTCTCATCTTGCTTCAAAACTTAAAGCCCTAAAGCTCGACCTATCTGATGATTTGCTCGTGCATTTAGTTCTCATCTCTCTTCCTACACAATTTAACCAATTTAAGGTCAGTTATAACTGCCAGAAGGAGAAATGGACTCTCAATGAGCTCATTTCATTTTGTGTGCAAGAGGAAGAGAGATTGAAGCAAGAAAGGACTGAAAGTGCTCATCTGGCAAGCACCTCCAAGCATACGGGCAAAAGAAAGCATAAGGGAAAGGAAATTGCTGCTCCTAAGGGTTCGGAACCAAAGAAACAGAAAGTGCAGGATGGTTGTTTCTTTTGTGGCAAGCCCGGACACAGAAAAAATGATTGTGCCAAGTACGTCGCCTGGCGTGTAAAGAAAGGTACATTTTATGTTTTGGTCTGTTCTGAAATAAATTTAGCTTCAATACCAAGAAACACTTGGTGGGTAGATTCTGGTGTTACTACTCACATATGTGTTTCTATGCAGGGTTGCCTGAACTACCGAAAGCCAACTGATGCTGAAAGATACATCTTTGTGGGTGATGGCAAGTCAATAGAAGTGCAGGCAATAGCGCACTTTAGATTATTACTGAAAACTGGTTATTATTTGGATTTATTAGACACTTTTGTTGTACCGTCCTTTAGACGGAATTTAATTTCTGTTTCTGTATTGGACAAATTGGGATATTGTTGTTCTTTTGGAAATATGAAGTTTAGTATGTCTATTAATTCCAATGTTGTTGGTACTGGTTTACTTAATGTGTTTGATAATCTATATTTGCTCGAAACTATTGCATCTTATACTGCAACCTTGCACGTGGAATCACGAGGTACAAAGCGTAAATTAACTAAGGAAAATTCAGCCTCATTATGGCACAAACGCCTAGGTCACATCTCTAAATCTAGAGTTAAACGTCTTGTGTCTGATGGAATTTTGGACTCTCTTGATTTTTCAGAATTTGATGTCTGTATTGAGTGTATCAAGGGAAAACATACCAAAATGAAGAAATATGGTGCCCATAGGACTACAGATGTCTTAGAATTAATTCATACGGACATCTGTGGGCCATTCCCTATGGCATCTTGGAATGGTCAACAATATTTTATCACATTCATAGACGAATATTCCAGATATGGGTATCTATTTCTTATCCATGAGAAATCGCAGTCTTTGGACGTATTCAAAAAATTTAAGGTCGAAGTTGAGTTACAACTCAACAAACGGATAAAAAGTGTCAGGTCTAACCGTGGTGGTGAATACTATGGCAGATATGATGGATTAGGTGAACAACGTCCAGGACCGTTTGCAAAATACCTGGAGGAATGTGGAATCGTCCCACAATACACCATGCCAGGATCACCTAGCATGAATGGTGTATCTGAGAGACAAAACCGGACTCTTAAGGATATGGTAAGAAGTATGATCAGTCATTCTACTTTACCAGAGTCCCTCTGGGGTGAGGCTCTAAAGACAGCAACTTATATCTTAAATCGGGTGCCAACTAAAGCAGCTGCAAAAACACCTTATGAGCTTTGGGTTGGGCGAAAGCCTAGTCTAAAACACTTGCATGTGTGGGGGTGTCCTGCTAAGGCGAGGCCTTATAAACCTCATGAAAGAAAATTGAACTCTAAAACTGTTAGCAGCTACTTTATTGGCTATGCCGAACGATCACGGGGTTACAAGTTTTATGATCCCACAAATAGGTCAATATTTGAGACGGGAATTTCAACATTTTTTGAGGATATTGAGTTTGGGGGGAGAAATCCAGTTAGAGACATTGTCTTTGAGGAGGAAGCAGGAGTAATCCCACTTCCTACTACTACTTTTGACCAATTACAGGTTCCTATACCTGTCATTGCTCGAGAAGTAACTTCGGATCCTCAACCAGACAAAGTTGTTCAAGACAATATAGTTCAACCCCTCATTCAAGATGAGGTAATTGTTCCTGAGGAACAAACTCTACAACCTCAACCTTAAGAACCTGTGCCATTAAGGCGATCCACAAGAGAAAGGAGATTTGCAATTTCGGATGATTATATTGTATATCTCCAGGAACATGAGGTAGAAAACGGAATGTCGAAAGATGATCCAATCAACTTTCGTCAAGCCATGGAAAGTTCCAACTCTCATAAATGGAAAGAAGCCATGAATGAAGAATATAAGTCTATGCAAGACAATAAAGTTTGGGAACTTATCTCATTACCTGTTGGTACGAAGCCCGTAGGTTGTAAATAGATATTTAAAACCAAAAGGGATTGAAATGGTAATGTGGAGAGGTATAAGGCACGTCTTGTAGCCAAAGGCTTTACTCAAAAGGAAGGAATTGACTTTAAAGAAACTTTCTCTCCAGTTTCTTCGAAAGATTCTTTTAGGACAATTATGGCGCTTATTGCATATTTTGATCTTGAGCTGCATCAGATGGATGTCAAAACAGCTTTTCTTAATGGTGACATTAAAGAAACAATTTATATGGTGCAGCCAGAAAACTTTGTGTCAGGAGACCCAAAGAACATGGTTTGCAAATTGACTAAATCCATCTATGGACTCAAACAAGCTTCTCGTCAGTGGTACTTCAAATTTCATCAAGTTCTCACTTCATATGGTTTTGAAACTAATGATGTTGATGAATGTGTGTATCACAAGTTCAGTGGGAGTAAACACATATTTTTGGTTTTATATGTTGATGATATATTGCTTGCCACAAACGATATAAACTTATTGCGTGACACCAAGAGATTTCTATCTAAGAATTTTGAAATGAAAGATCTTGGTGATGCTTCCTTTGTATTAGGAATCGAAATACACCGAGATCGTTCTCGGGGTATTCTGGGATTATCACAGAGGAGCTATATCGAAAAAGTACTCAATTGATTTGGCATGCAAAATTGTAAATCAGGTGAAACCCCGGTTGCTAAGGGAGACAAGTTTAGTCTCAGCCAATGCCCAAGAAACAGTCTTGAAATTCAAGAAATGCAGAAGATTCCTTATGCCTCGGCTGTAGGGAGTCTAATGTATGCCCAAGTATGTACGCGTCCGGATATTGCGTTTATAGTTGGCATGTTAGACAGATATTTAAGTAATCCTGGCATGGATCATTGGAAAGCAGTCAAGCATGTTATGCGATATTTACAGAGAACAAAGGAATATATGCTCACATATAGGAGATCGGATAAGTTAAAGGTCATTGGATATTCCGACTCCGATTTTGCTGGATGCCAAGACAGTCAGTTGCTAATGTATTGATCGATATGGGTGCAACCCATTCATTTATCTCGTGCAGAGTTTGTAGCATGTTATGAGGCATCAAACCAAGGGATATGGCTGCGGAATTTTGTCACTGGGTTGCGTATTATGGAAGGCATTGAAAGCCCACTTAAGTTATATTGTGATAATAAGTCTGCAGTTTTATATTCCAATAATAACGGGAGCTCGACAAAATCAAAGCATATTGATATCAAGTTCCTAGTTGTAAAAGAAAAAGTATAGAGTGGGCAGATTTTCATAGAGCACATTGGGACAAACTCCATGATAGCGGATCCACTTACGAAGGGACTACCACCCAAGGTCTTTCATGAGCACACTGCTCATATGGGTGTTGTTCTATTTGAGAACATTTTGGTTTAGTGGGAGTTTGTATTTATATTACTGCTTTATGTCAGCCTTGAGTTTTATCTATGTAATTAGATTAATTTCTGCAGAAATGAAGTATTCAGTTTATTACACTCTGTTACGTATTGTGAAGTATTGATCTCAATAAAGTTAAGTAGGACCAGTTGGAAATAGGCATGTATGGATCACATTACATGTAATTTCCATGCTACGCATCCATGATTGATCTATGTCATTTAGCTGTATTGGTATACGTGACCATTGGTGGGTCGAGTTACGATTAATGTAACGAAGACCGCTTTGATCCTATATCAATATAGTTAATGGACAAGATTGTTTGGATACCCTCAGGTCATGATAACAAATTTCTGAGCTCACTAAAGTTAAGCACATTTTTCAGATTACATATGTGGTCCAGTGGGAGATTGTTAGATAATGTCTCAATGGGACCACATATTTAAATGTGGTGTTATCATTTATAAGAAGCCTACAATTTAAGTGATTCAATTTAGTCAATAGGCTTAAGGATATATGTGTCATGGACCTAATGTGTAGATACTAGTTGAGTAATTTCTATTTCTATGAGGGGCAGAAATAGAAATTAAAGCAAAATTGGTTAAGTTGGTTTTCATTCTCTTCAAAAAACTGTCACACGGTTTTCTTTTTGAAAATCTATTTTAACCTTAAGTTTTTATGGTCCCTAATCCTGCCTAGAGTAAAGAACTGCCAATTTCTTCTATATCCTCTCAAGGAGAAACTTAAGGCACTCAAAAGGAAAGGATTGGAAGGCAATAACAAAAGGCAATTGATAATCACGCTTCCGTTCAACGATGGATTCGAGTACGTTTTTGTCTTGAGTTCTTGATGATACACATGGTAGATGATCCAAAGCATAAGGTTTTGTGTTCTGAAATTATGTTTACAGTTTTTTCCTCTAGAAAGATCTACTTTCTGAGTGGAGAACAGCATCCAACCCAAGTACATGCAAATTATACAAGAGAGAGGTTTATGTAAATTACCTATACAAAATTTGGAGAGGGCTTCGCTCTCCCTGCTCCTCCTGGTAAATAAGCTCAAAAAATCTTAATTTAACTATTGAATAAACCCATCACCAACCAAGAATCAGACTCCTAGAAAACCCATTCCAACCACTTTTGATATCTTTCAAACATGAAAAGCTTCAGCCTTCTAACCTTTGAAGTTATTGCTCTTTTTATGCTGCAAACTCTGTTACTGGCAGTTTTTTCGAACTTCTGCCTGCATTCACTCTACTTGTAGTCTTTGTCATGGAGAAATTTATGGTTCCCCTAATTTATTTATTTTTTTTATTTTATTTTTTATTTTTACCTTTTTAGTATGTAGCTGCTAGAGCATAGACCAAGTGGGAACTGATGACTGCCTATCTTCTTCCAAATGAAGATAACATTAAGAAAGGGGACGATGACAAATTTTCATTTGTGAGTCAATTCATTGTATAGGGTATCATAGTTTCTTGTATATTATATTATTTTGGGGGAATTTCAAATCAGTGTAGAAGTTGAAAATTAATTACAAATTTGTGGTAAATTTTATCAATATTAATAACTAAAATTATAAAATTTTCCATTTATGTAATAATTTTATGCAATTACCACTGACAGGTAATTTCCCCTATTATTTTCATCAGCAGCCTAGTTAAATTAACAATCTTTTATTGTCCATAATTGTCTTGCTACCAGTTGCTTCTTACATCCAAATTGTATATTCTAATTCTGAACTTTTTTCCTCATTTCTTGTCCTCAAAATTTTACAAGTATAAGGGTGAAGATTTTAGATTGGAGATAAGTGAAGCTTTTACGGTGTTCACAATTCTATCTACTGTGATGACCTGAAGTTTTCCGTTCAAAAAAGGAAAAAGATTGTTCATTTATACAAACTTGAATTCTTTACACATTGTATTTTCAAAGTAATTTTATTCATCTTATGGCCTTTGCAAGTGTAAAAATACTTTACTTAATAAATTCTTCTTGCCTTAAAAACAAATTTAAAAAAAAAATCGCAATTGATACCAAATTCTGAATACCCTTGGTATAAGTACTTAATACCTTTTATTCCATCACAAATGCTTTTTGATGTTACTCTT